AGGAAGTAGAATGAGGAGATCAAGTATCACGATGAAGGTCAAGGAGGGGTTGGCTTCTGGACAGGTGACTACCAGTACCACCCCTCACTGAGACAGTGAATGCAGGTCCCCTGGCCAAAAGGAAATTCTGGGAAATCTCGGCCCTGAAGACATGAGGCAATGGTCTGTCTCATCAAGCCTGCTCTTCAGGTGGAACTGTCGACTGACACCTAGTCTCTAAGACTTATCTAGAACCCTCTCTCCTCCAAGACCACACATTTGGGGCTTACTCTTCTTCCACCTGCAGTAGCTTCCTCTTTGCCCACAGTCAGCTCCTTTCATTACACACAACACAGCTCTTTAAGGCATACCTCTTTAAGGCATACCTCATGTGTGATGGTGCTGATCCCTCCATCCCACCATTGCCCCACATGGGCATCAAAGAACTGCATGCAGCATGTCTGGGTTGGGGCATAAATGTGTACACAACAAGTGATGGGATGAATACAGTCATCACTGCTGTGGTGTAACAGGCACGCAAAAGGCAAAAGAGACATGGTCCTTGCTCCCTAAGGGATGCAACAAAGGTGAACCACTGAGTGTGTGAAGTGGGATTGGAACGAAGTCTCTAAGAGGGGAACTGGGAGGCAAGATAGAGAAGCCTTGGCAGGTGGGACTTGAGATCTGTCACCAATGTAGTGGGTAGAGGGCTTAGTTGTGGATAAACAAAGAAAACCAGGGTGAGCTTGGTATCTGTAAACCACCAACTTCAGGAATGTCTAAACAATGACCCAAACCAGACAGGGTGAAGAAGAGGTGACAATCCTCACATGAATTCTCACATGACTCAACAAGATGTGTGAAATAAGAGGAAAAAAAAAACAGGACCAGGAGAGAGGCTTCTCCACACACTGATCCCATTCCCAAACTCATCTTTGGCACACCGTGGGAGCCGTGAGTGGTCAGCCTAGCTCGCAGGCAGGCACGGAATGGCCACGGGAGCCTGTCCTTATCCTAACAGGGATGTGTCCCACTAATACTGTGATTAAGGAAGCAGCTCCCCTCAGCTCTCTGGGGATGACCCAGGTGGACAGCAGCTAGCAGAATCAATATAAGGCATTAAGCCTATTTCAAGCAAATAGTTCTAAGAACCCCATGGGTCACTAGAAAATAGTCCTGACAACCTGTATCCAATGACATAGTCTTCGTGTTGTTTTTGACCAGAAAATGGCAAATAAAGTAATCAGTCCATTGCCTTTGCTCTCATTATCTCAATAAGTTATGACAAGAACTTATTACCATTTAACTCTGCTCTTCTTCAGCTCCCTGGGGAATGCCAGTCCAAAGATATCTCTTTAATTTCCATTTGTGTAGACACCTCTATTCTACTCCAGACTTCTAGGTCCTCCACCTCTCCCACCACGGACCCCAGAACCTGAAAAGTAACAGCTTTAATGATCAGGACTCTCAAACCAAAGAACAGAAAAAACAAAGATAAGGCAGCAAGAGTGACAATGTCTTGTGTTCCCACGCTTGAAAAATCAAGGGTGGATCTGGCCCGCAAGGATGACTGGAACCAGGGGTTAAAGGATGAGACAGGCAAAGTAGCCACCACTGGAGCTGGCTCCCAGTTGTTCAGGTAAACTTTCTCCATCACTTCATCTGGAGGGTCCACTTGGAGGTGCTAGCTCCTATCAGAACCAAATTTAGGGTCAGAGAAGTAGTCGTCTATCCCCAAAGCTGCATCAAATGCACTTGCATGAACAAGTGTCACTTGGAAAATCACAGTCCTGTTTTTGAATGTTGCTTCTCCCAGTCGCTGTCACAGGCACTATTTTTTCATGTTCACCAAGCCCTCTGAGGAGGGCAACCTATTTCTCAAAGGAGAAGTTGAGGTTCAGAGGCCAAAGCAAGCCACCCCAAGAGCAGCACCAGGACAGGCCTGTCTCCTCATTTGCCTGTGACCCTGACTGCTGCCCAGAGAATCCCTAACATGCTACAGAAAAAGAAGGGGGCAGTCTGTTTTGGCCACATCCCAGCATCCAGTCAGCCACCCTGGACATGACCGACAGCAGTCAGAACTCACTTCTGCCCGGCGCACTGAAACATCCTGAATGTGATGATCTCCCTCTCAAGCCCGCTCAGCCCTGTCACTGCTCCCTAAATACCTGGAAAGAAGTTAAAATGGAAGGACTTCCACTTGGTCTTGGAACAATATCAACTTTCTATGGCTATCTATCTTTCCTCGAAAGAATCTCCCTGAGTTCCAGAATGTAGCCTAGCAGTTAAACAAGGGTTGAGATACACATCCTAGGTCAGAGGCAGGGACACAGAGCTTCAGGTCCCAGCTGGGTCTCACGGAGTCAGAGTCTGTGCTTTCATGAGACCTCCACTTATTTATTTGAACCAGAGAGTTGAAGGGCTCTAGACAAGAGATGAGAAAGCAGGGCTGGGAGAACAAGGGTCGGGAGACTTCACACCCATTGCTTCCCCAGTCGTAAGAACCTACACTTCCCTCTCACACATAGAAAGAGGATAAAATGACAGGAGAACCTGCACTGAAGACAGAGCTCAGCAGAGAAAAGCTTCAGGCTCCCAGTACCGCTGAACGTGGCAGCAGGGTGACCTGGTGGGAAGACACTGGCAGATGGTGGCACCTCAGGCCAACTCCACAGGTGCCACATCAACCAGGCAGGAGGTCACAGCCCAGAGCTGAACACTGACTCTTCCAATGGCAGATCCCATCCTTCCTTTGGAAAAGGAAAGACCAGGGCCCCCACTGCGGTGCGGAGTTAAGCTGCAGCCTGTGAGGGCATCCCATATGCATACAGGTTCATGTCCCAGCTGCTCCACTAATCCAGCTCCTGATAACACACCAAAAAGGCAGCGGAGGATGGCCCAACAGCTTGGGTTCCTGCCATCCAGCCATGTGAAGCAAAGCTCTTCTGTCTCTCTTTCTCTAAAACTGTCTTTCAAATAAATAGATCTTAAAAGGAATAGAGAGAGAGAGAGAGAGAGGAAAGAAGGAAGGAAGGAAGGCAGGCAGGAAGGAAGGAAAGAAGGAAGGAAGGAAAGACGGAACGAAGGAACAAAATGTCAAGCTAGGCTTTGCTTCACAGGAAGGAGGGAGAAGGGAGGGATAAAGAAGTCAAGAAGGGAGCCAGTGTTGTGGTTTAGCCAGTTAAGCCACTGCCTGTGATACCAGCATCCTATAAAGGTGCTGGATTGCTGCTCCTATCCAGCCCCATGCCAATGCACCTGAGAAAGCAGAGAAAGATGGCCCAAATGTTTGGGTCTCTATATTCTCATGGGAGACCCACATGAAGCTCCTGGCTTCAGTCAGGCGCAGCTTCTGGAGACTGATCTAGCAGAGGGAAGATCTTTTCCTTCAGTCAATTTTTCAAAGAAAGTAAGAAAAAGAGGATAGATGTAAGAACCAAGGTTAGCAGGGAGCTGGACTGGAACCAAAGCAATCAGTACTCCAGCACAGGATGTTAGTGTCATATCAATGGCAGTTCAACCCACTGCACCACAATCCTGGCCTTACCTTCCTATTTTCAAACTGTCCTGTACCCCAACTCCCCTTACCCATTGGTTCTCCTTGGGTAACGGTCCCGAGTATTGATATTTTAGGTCTGGGGGCAGAGGAAGCCAAGCATTCCAGCAAACATGCAAAATAAGGAGCCATTATGCTGAAGAGAAAGGACAGTCACATTTACTTCAGTGGCCGTAAAAGACAACCATAAACACTAACATGCAGCTTGCATCCTCGGGATTCATAAAAGATCTTGCATTCCACTGGTCAATAAGAACAATGAATTCTTTCAGGAAACAAAAGGATTGCAAATCATTTCTGGTCGCTAGAAAATCTACTTGTGGTTTTAAGAATAAAAGAGAACAGAAAATGAGGCTCAAATTCAGAGCTTTTCTGACCCTGAAAGTGGGGGGGGGGGGGGGAATAAGACCTGAGTCTTGTGGTGTAACGGATTAAGCTGCCGCCTGTAATGCCAGCATCCCATATGGGTATTGTTTCAAGTTTTGATTGTTCCTCTTCTTTTCAGCTCCCAGATAATGTGCCTGAGAAAGCAGTGGAGAAGATCCCAAGTCCATGGGCCCCTGCATTCACATGGACAACCCAGTGAAAGCTCCAGGTTCCTGGCTTTGGCCTGGCTAAGCCGTGACCATTGCAACTGCTTAGGGAGTAAACCAGCAAACGGAAGATCTCTCCCTTTCTCTCTTTGTAATTCTGCCTCTCAAATAAACAAAATAAATATAAAAGAAAGAGAGAGAGATGTAAATACTGTTTCCTTTTATGAACGCAGGTGTTCAGTAAGCCAGGTTACACCAAATCTGGGGCCCTGGAGATGACACAGACACAGTGGAGACAGCAGGAGTCCGCAGCAGTCTCAGACCAAGAAGCTAGCCATGCTGGAGGATGGGCCACACAGGTAGCAAGCCACAGGGCAGGAACAAAGTGCTCAAACAGGTGACACTGAAGTAGCAGTATGCAAACCAAGCCCCTGTAACTCCAGTGCCAATCATAGGACTAACGTCTGCAGCAGAACTGGAGGGACCAGGCAGAACTCCAAAACTAGAGTCAGCAAGCGAGAACCAGAAGAATAAACACAGAAAGAACCAGTAGAACAAGGCAGGTGTCGAGGCCATAGGAAATGCAGCACATAGCAAACTCCCAGGTTTCAGCTGAGCCAGTGAGCTCATGGCTTGGGCTTCCTAACTCCTCCAACCCAGGTCTTGGGCTCCTGCAAGGTGAGGGAGCCCTCTGGGCTGCAGGAGGTGGCCCCACAGTGGCAGTGGCTCTGCAGCAGTGAGCAGTCACACAGGACATCACACAGCCTCCCAGTGCTCAGGTCCGCTCCCATCTGACGCTCAACCTCAAGGGAGCCCTGGGAATGCCTGAGGATGCAACAACCAGAAGGAACAGCAAGCCCTTGGCAAGGGCCCCAGGTGCCCTCTACATAAGCTGAGGGTTGGGGGTCAGGTGAGGGGTGGCCAGTGAGTTAGGCTGGCTTAACTGTGCTGCTGAGAAAGGGGTTTTATTGAAACACAGCATATGAAACACCAAAGGGGTCACTGTGACTGCTATGGGCTGCCCCCAGATGCCAACCTGTCTCACTGAGGGGTGATGCCTCTGAGGAAGGAGATGGTTTGGAGACGGACGCTGATCTGCAGCAAGTTCACAGACAGGCTCACCTCCAAGCAAATCCAACTTCCTGCAAGTGAGATGTGTGTCCCCGTGGAGCCTGCTGTCCATCCCCATGATGGAAAAGGCTTGGGGAATGGAGGGGCGCACACACCAGGAGTGGGAAGGTGGCTGCCGTGTCTCCTCCTGAGACATCCACGGACTGCTGGTGAGCCCCAAGACAAGACCAACAGTGTGGCCAGGGATGGGGTGGCCACTCCAGGAACCCCGGGGCTGCAGACACCATGTGGCTGGCACATGTGGGACCACTAGGTAAGGACAAGGACAAGGACTGGGAAGAGACCAGAATGTGGTCAGGGAAAGCTGGTCCACTCAGTGCAGAGCAGGAAACAGCCAGCCAAGCAGGGCAATGATCCAGCAGGCCAGCCAGGACCCCTTCACGCGCAGAATGAGTTCGTGCAGGCTGATCTGCCCTAAGTTGAAAGCCTCGCTGCAAGAGATCCGAGTCCTTTTCAAGAAGGAGCGGGTATTCTTCCTCTCATACCTGGAGAAGAGAGGAGAAAGAGATGAGAAGGTAAGAACACCAACTCAGCATCATCCTAGGAGGACCCAGAACACTCACTCTCTCTTCAGAACTATCTCCCTTAAGGAAACACGTTCTTGTCCTCACCAGTCTCCAAGGCTGCTGAGGCATCTAGAAATAAAAAAGACTGCCAGTCTCACACTTTTTGAAATCACAGCTTCACTTGCAAGAAAGACAAACAGGGTCCCTACCAACCTGGTTGGACCTTGGGAGCCAAGTCCCAGAGTGGCTTCCTGACCTAAGCTGAGAGGCGATTTGCATCAGACTGAAGCTCTCAGCATACGTTCCAGGCTTTTGACAAAGAGGAGGAATTCCCTGGAAAGCTGGGCTGGACAGTGCAAGTCTTAGAATATATCACTTAACCAGTAGAGATGAGTCTCCAGGCCACTCAAAAACAATGCCCAAGGCTTCAGCCACTTTTCTGAAATCGTTCACCACACTCACTTTCCCTACAGTGAGGATCAGGACTAGTTCCCTGAGAGAGCAGAGGCCAGCAGCAAGCTGGGAGGGGTGAAGCAAGCTGGGAGGGGTGAAGCAAGCTGGAAGGGGTACAGCAAGCTGGAAGGGGTACAGCAAGCTGGGAGGAATGTGGAGGCAGGAAGCTGCACTTACCGGGCCAGTGCCCTGACACAGCACCGCGACATACTGAGGAAGGAGCTGGCACTGGCGCGGGTGCCCAGGGCGGCCTCAATGCCACGTAGCAGGTCATTGGTCTTGAAGATGAGCAGCATCTGCCGCGGCACATGGTTGAGGAGTTGGCTGATCTGGGGCAGGTAGTTGGCTGCATTGTTGCGGATCTCAGAGTCCTGAGGCAGCCAGAGGGACACAGAAAGGACAGGTGAGTATGGGATGGGGGTCCAGGATGGCAGGGGTCTGGGTAGCTTGTGACCCAAGGGACTGCAAGGAAGTTCCAGGAAGAAGCTTTGCGGACCAATGCTCCACTACGGAGCTATACCCCTGGGGAGGAAGCTTTGAGCGCAGCCCTGGAGCAGTCAAAACTAGAGCCTGACACACCTGATGCAAGCTCGCAGCCCCTCTTCTCGACAAGAACTGGAGGCAGTGGGTAAAGACATCAACGGGGCCTGGCTGCTCGTCAAGGTTCTTTACAGCTCCCAGTTGTAGGCCGGTCTACAAGAAGCCCTGGGAGGCTGGAACCAACTGAGCCATAGCTGCCCTCACCTCCAGGCATGCCCAGCTGATACAGTCCTGACCCCAATGTGAAAGTCCTGCTCTGCCCAGCATTCCACCAGGCTGACTCATCCCACACAACCCTAGCTTAACACTATCTACTGTGCTAGAGCCAGTCTCATCGCAGCCATTTCCCAAGGTCCTGATGCTCCTTGTCTGGTCCCTGGAGCCCTCATCTCCTTCCCTACACATCTCTATTGAGATAACTACCCCAAGCCAGAATCCTGGACTCGACCATATGAAAGAAATGTGAAAACTGTCCAAATCAAAATGAAGTCACTTGGGCCCGTACGCAGTGGCCTAACAGCTAAAGTCCTTGCCTTGAATGCACCGGGATCCCAAATGGGCAGCAGTTCTAATCCAGGCAGCCCTGCTTCCCATCCAGTTTCCTCCTTGTTCCCTGAGAAAGCAGTTGAGAACAGCCCAAAGCCTTGGGACCCTGCACCTACGTGGGAGACCTGGAAGAGCCCCTGGCTCCTGGCTTCAGATTGGCACAGCATTGGCCATTGTGGTCACTTAGGGAGTGACTCACTGGGGACGGAAGATCTCCCTCTATCTCTCCTCCTCTCTATATATCTGACTTTGCAATAAAAATAAATAAATCTTTTTTTAAAATGGAGGCACTCACGCCAACTCACACATACACACACACACACACACACACACACACACACACACACACAAAGTAAAGCTGGGAAGTTATGAAAGAGTTTGGACGAGTGGTTGCCTGACAGTAACAATGACAAAAAAAAAACTCTGCCAGAACCACAAGCTTGCCCTGAGGCCAGCACAGCCCTACACAAAGGACATGTGCCCAGCAGCTGTCTGTTCACCTCAGACTGATGTCACCCTGGTTATCAATCACTGTGACCAAAGATCATTGTTTCAAAATATCTGATGGAAACACCCTCTTCCTTTTGCTTTATTCATGTTTTTAAGACTTAAAGGCAGGAGTCAGGAACTCTACCTGTGCCTCCCACATGGGCGGGAGGGACACAAGTACTTGGGCCATTTTCTGCCGCTTCTCTGGGTATATTAGCAGGGATCCGAAGCAGAGCAGCCGGCACTCGGAATGGAAATGGTACTGCCACAGGTGGCAGTCTAACCCCTCTGAACCACAATTCTGACCTCTCCTTTTTGCCTTCAGAGCTGCACCTCTGCCTCTGTAGGATGTGACCAGGAGTCCTTGTTGCCGTCGCAGCGGCCTGCTGTTCTCATACCCCTGTCATTTTCCTTTGGAGAACCTCCCTCTGCTTGCTGTGATTCACAATGGTGTGCGCTCTGCCCCCTCTCCGTCTCTAAAGATGATAACGATGATCCACATGTATGGGAGCATGAGCTGGATAAGCCGGGCACATTGAGGTGCTTACGGTATTAATTTTGTCTTCACAATAACTCTATCAGACGAATTTGCGATCCTCATTTAAGGTAAGGAAACTGAGGCACTAAAGTTGGGTAGCCTGCCCAACGTCCATGGCTAGTAAGTGGTGGGTCAGGATTTAAACTAAGGCAGGCGCCAGCACTATAGCATCATGGCATGCAGGATAGGCTCCCGTTTGTAATGCTAACAGCCCCTATCGGAGCACTGGTTTGAGTCCTGACTCGATGTTTGTCATCCAGTTTCCTGCTAACGCACCTAGTCATGCAGTAAAGCGTGAGCCCAGTTTTTGGGCCCTGCCACCCACATGGAAGAATGGCTGGAGTCCCTGCGCTCAGCCCAATCAGAAAGCTCCTTTGCCTTCCCAGGGAATCCCTGGAGCAGCCAGGCCTTCTAGCTTAAACAGACCCTGATGGGAGTTTCTATAGCAGACCCCATTGGAGGACCAACCAGATAGCCATCCCCCTACTTCCCGTGGTTAAAAGAACTCCAACTTTTTTCACATGCTCCTTTGGGCTCATGTTCTGTGTGGAGGCAGAGTCCTCCCTAACCCCAGGGATGGGTGGATCCAATCTATTTATCTATCTAGATAGCTGAAAGACCAAGATCTAAGGATCTACCTATCTATCCATCTATACATCTATCTCAAAACCAAGATCTTCCATCCACTGGTTCTCTTCCCAAATGCCTACAGCAGTGAGGGTTGGGCCAGATTGAAGCCAGGAGCCAACAACCCAAACTGGGTCTCCCCCACAGATGTCAGGGGCCCAAGAACTTGAGCCATCCACATCACTTTCCAAGGTGCACATTGGCAGGAAGTTGGAATCAGAATTAGGGACAGGACTTAAACCTAAGCACTCCAAGATGGAACAAGTGGCATCTGAACCCCTCCATCCCTGAGGGGTGAGACTTGGTGGCTCTCAGCCACTGCTGCCTTGGAGCTCTCCTCCCTCCGCCAACTGTCTGCTTTAGGCAGGGATATAAGACACTGAGACAAGATGACAAGTCCGTTGGAGGGCTTCTACGTAAGGGTTTCCAGCTTCCCTCCCTCCCATTGCCACCAGCATGGTCTGAGCGCCATCATGTCCCAGCCCACCATCCTGGCCCAGCCTCTGCTCATCTCATCCAGTACCAGCTGGAGCAGCTCCCTCCCTTGGCGAAGGCCTGTGGAAGGCTATGCCTTGTATTAAATCTAAACTTGCTTCCAGGGCTCATGAGGCTTCCCAGCTAACAACTCCCAATTCCTCTCATGCCTCCATCCTTCTCACAACACTCAGCCACATCCAACCCTTCCCTTCCCCCAGGGCCTTCGCATGCCACCAGTGCCTCCTTCAAGAGCTTCCAGTGGCAGGTGCCTTTTTGTCCTTTGGGCCTCAGCTGAAATGTCAGCTCCTTGGCAAGCACCACCCCTAACCCTCGAACCCCTCATTCACAGCACTCTACTTGCTTCTTCCATGGTACCTATATCCTGCAATTATTCCATTTACCTGTTTGTTCACTTGTTTACTGTCTGTCTCCTTCAACCAAAGTGTAAATTACATAAAAGGCCTGTCTGTCTGCTCTTCCCAGATCCTCAGCCCCAGGCCCCAGGCCCAGCAAAAGCAAATGTTTGTTGAAGGAATGTACTATAGCAACTGTGGACAAACAACTGATGGGCATTATCAATAAAACAGAAGTTATCACTCCTGCCATCCTTATTTTACTCATGTAAAGCAATTTCCTCTCTTTGAGACCTTGGGAACCTGGAACAGCAAGTGCACCTGTGCCTTCAAGTTCACTGGAGAATGACGGCCATTTGGAGGCAAGTGGAATGACAAGACAGGCTCTCCTGTGACATCAGTTTCTTGACACAAGTGTTCCTAAACCCCACCACGAGGTAGCCTATAGGCACATAACCTTGACCCTCAAAGGGGAGGTGAGAACTGCTCAAGGTCATGTCGCCAGGAAGAGGTGTCCCCTAGGTTGTCCACCACAACGATGCAAGCAAGTCTGCATGGGTCTATCACATCAATGAAGTGGATGGGCAGAAGTCAAACCATGAGGTTTGACATACAGGTGTCTAGAAAGGGAGCCCACCCTGCTCCACTGGGCAGTGAGCTCACCCAGCAGACCTCAGACATGGACAGGAGCAGAGGGAGGCATATGAACAGCAGTGTTCCCAGGACCTGTCTCCCAGTCAGACCCCATCAGACCACTGTCTAAACTCAATGGAGAAAGGAGCTACCAGGAGAGACAGAGAAGGCAGTTTGTCTGAGAAACCTGCAAGACTTAGGGATGGGTTGCTTAGCTGAAGCAAGGCACAGGCAACCAAAGGGCCCTGCCAGGTCCAGGGCCAAGAGAGCCCCATGCTGCATGGTGCTGGGCAGGAGACAGAGGAGTCACAGGGGAGAACGTGGAGGAGCTGATATCTGTGTGGTTACAGCCAACGATGCACAAGCCCAGGTTATTACAGATGACGGGACCTTGTTGGTGTTCCAGATGTGAGGGGGCCACAGAGGAGTATCTGCTCCTCTCCCTCCTTCCTTCCAAGGATACTGTTTTCTTCTTGCCTCCCTCCTCTTCCTCCACCAGTCTCACTCCAGTTCTGCCATGCACCCATCATTCCCACCATTCCCCATCTATCATCTCAGCTCCAGGGTTGGAAGGGACCCACAATGCCATCCCCAGCTCTGCCTGTGACAATTGGGATGGGAAAGGCCATGGGATACCCACTTACTTCCGAGGCAGTGACGGGAGCCTGGCTGATCCCCTTGTTGACCGAGTCCCAGGACCGGGCAGTCAGCATGCAGGCAAACAAGGGGTAGAGGTCCCCGGCGCCCAGGCGCTGGCTGTACGTCTTCACCTTCTTCATGTCTGTCCAGATCAGAGACTGCCAGAGGCGGCAGTAGTCCAGGCGGAACTCGTCCGTGAGCACCTGCAGCACGGGCAGCAAGGCCAAGGCCTGAGCCTCTCTCCCAAGGAGGCTCAGCAAGACTCCCCGGCACGCCTAGCTCTCCAAGGTCCAGCCAGCCTGACCAAGTGCAAGGCTATTATAAGTTGAATACCCCTTCTCCAAAATGCTAAGACCAAAAGTGTTTCAATTTTAGACTGTAGAGAATGTGGACACAATTAGCATTTTTAAAATTTTATATGATACTGAAAGAATGTGAAAAGTAGCATATTAATTTGCTTGTGTATAATTTGCATATAAATAGTTACATGATAATAATATATATAATGGGATATAGAAATAATGAGATATCTTAGGAAGGGGCCACAAGTCTGAAGATAAAATTCATGTTTCACATAGATGTTACAAAGGTTGAAGAGCATTTTACATACTACTTTCCACAATTTTGTGTGTGAAGAAAAGTTCGGTGATGTGGGATTTTCCACACACAACATCATGTCAGTACTCAGAAAGTGTCAAATGGGGAGCACGTCCGATCAGGGAGCTCAACCTATATGTGGCAAGCCTGGATCCTGATCAGCAGAGATAACCAACTGCCCTCCCAAGCTACAGGCTCCTCCCTGCCAGCTATGGGTTATATCCCCAGCGTCCCTCGAAGTTAGACAGGGCTGCTACCTGAGCTCTGGCTGAGGGAACGTGCCAGAAGCTCCATTCCCACATACTGGCCACAGGAGCTCTCCCATGCTTGCTCCTACAAGTCCTCATCATGCTGCCACTGACAGCCCCGCCACCTCTGGGGAGCCCTGGAGAGCACAGCCCCACAGACTCTGCCACCCACCTCACACTGGTAAGTGGACAAGCAACCAAACTCCTTGTGGCACTGGGGGCCATCATTCTGGGGACTCCATGTGACAACAGGTGGCCCACTGCCGTGGAATGTGTTCTACTCTCTTGGGCCTTGCAGAGGAGGTCAAATTGTGGAACCCAAGGAAGAGGAGCAGGAGAACACTGGGGGACCCTCCCCAGAACCTCCTGTCTTGTGGAATCAAGTAAACCTTTTGGTCCACACTGGCAGTGAACCTGCAGACAGGAGTTCACAGCCCATTGAACCAGCTTTGCTCCCTGAGTTCTATGAGCCCCAGCTCCTGCAGCTCCCTACTCCGCCATCTAGTATATGCTCACATGAATACATGTACACCAAGAGCAGCTCCCTGCCAGCGTCTGGGCCGGCCTGAGGTCCCCTGGAAAGGTGCAATCAGCTAGACAAGTGATGCCATCTACACATCAAGGAGGAAAATAATTATGACAAGGATATGTGCAAAATGACAGCTCCTAGCACGGGGGAAGGGCCTCCTCCTGCTGCCTCAGCTTTCCACCTGCCATTTCTGTAACTATGGGGATTTCGGTGCACTCTGACTCCAGGACGAACCAGACCCTGGGGCTGAGGACGAAGAGCTTCCTTACCTGGTACAGTCCATGGTCCAACAGGATAATCTCTGCCTTCCCCGTGTCCGGATGCTTCCGCACCAGCACATTGCCAGGATGTGGGTCACAGTGCACGAAGCCATTGACAAAGATCATCTCACTGTACATCTTGCCCAGATGGCACGAGATCTGAAAGAGACGCATCCACAACTGCCTCAGGAGCTCCCGCTAGAGCTCTAACAGGAGGCCACGTGGCTGAGCCGGGGTGCTGGAAGTGATGGCTTCAGATGTGTTCTTGAACCTGAGGAGCAAGCAATGCTTTCGTCTGGTTCTTTCCAACCTCAGCCACACAGTAGAGCCATCAGGAGTCCAGAAATACTGTAGGTAGTACCAGCATTTGAAACATTCATTTGCTTATCTGGAAGGTAGTTACAAAGAAAGAGAGGGAAACAGGAAGAGAGAGAGAGAGAGATCTTCTATCTGCTGGATTAATCTGCAAATGGCCACCATGGCTGAAACTGAACCAGACCAAAGCCAGGAGTCCCCCATCTAGGTCTCCCACATGGGTAGCAGGGGCCCAAGTACACGAGTCACCTTCTGTTGCTTTCTCAGGGGCATTAGCAGGGAGCTGGATTGAAAGTGCAGCAAGGGGGACTCAGAACAGTGCTCTGATATGGCATCACAGAGGTTTAACCTGCAGAACCACAATACTGGCCCCCCAAAACATTTTATGTTGACGTCTAAGGCAGAAGTATGGTGTGGCTACAGCTCCGTCTCCACTCCACACCCACCCCTCCCTTCTTCCATGGCTCTCTCCCCTGTCTTCTTCCCAGTCCCTGTTCATTTCCCCTCCAGAGCCGAGAATGGACTGACTGGCTGGGTGGAGGCACTTTTCCAGCTGGGCTTCCTGCTGAGAACAGGACTGGGCTGAGGTGCAGGGACAGGTAACCCCACCAGCATCCGCTGGGGCTGCCCCACCAGCTCCAGGCCAGTCCCAGGTAGACCCAAAGTTCAGGACTTTCTCTCCCCTCCCCCTCCTTTCCTCCCTGCCAGAGTCCAATGCTAATCTGATTTATGATGTCTGCACAGAAGAAATGACACTGGAGAGGCCATTTAAATCATCCTGTCACTGCCGCTCTCCCTGCCGAGGCAGTCTTCTTATCTCGACTCCCTGTTTTATTAAAGCTAAAAGCCTCTTCCCAGCCAGGGAACAGCTGCTGAATAGAGTCAGTCCCAGGACTGTGGAGGTTCTGTCAGTGGGCTGCCAGGGCACAGACACACTCAGACCAGAATCTGAAGTCCCCAGTACCTGCTGCCCTTGGCATTCCAGCCTCGGCTGGATCCCAGGGCCATCAACGCATGTATCCCAGCTAGAGGAGAGGAGCTGGGATCTGCTGGGCGGGGAACACAGGAGTCGGCTATTAAAATGAAGAATTTTCTTTTCCTCTCTTGTGCCTGCGAAACCCTGTTCTCTGCGAAGCCCACATCTCTCCTTGCTGTCATCTTGCACCCACTGACACTGCAGCCACATCCATGCTTCCTCTTCTCCAATCATTCCTGTGCATCGATACCACAGGGCCTTTGCACACGCTCTCTTCTGCCTCAGCATTCCTCCTGATATCTCTTCACCTGGTTCAGCTCCTCTCTTTCGTCCTCTTTCTTTTTAATATTTGTTTGTTTTTATTGAAAAGTCAGATATACAGAGAGGAGGAGAGACAGAGAGGAAGATCTTCCATCCACTGATTCACTCCCCAAGTGGCTGCAATGACCAGAGCTGAGAGGATCCAAAGCCAGGAGCTTCTTCGGGTTTCCCATGCAGGTGCAGGGTCCCAAGGCTTCGGGCCGTTCTCAACTGCTTTCCCAGGCCACAAGCAGGGAGCTGGATGGGAAGCAGGGCCGCCAGGATTAGAACCAGCGCCCATATGGGATCCCAGTTCATGCAAGGCAAGGACTTTAGCCACTAGGCTACCACGCTAGGACCCTCCCTTTCCTCCTTAGGAAGCCCACCTGACCTCCCAGGCTGAGCAGTGCCCTCCTATCAAGCATTCCCAGAAGACACTGGGCTATTGTCCCACGGCAGTAGCAATTCTTTGTGTATTTGTAGGATGACCATCTAGCCCACAGTCACAAGTGCCCAAGAAAGCAGAGGCGGCTCTGTCAGGTTAAAGTTTTATTGACGTGCAATTTACAGACCATAGACTGGCTCTATTGTGCACTTGCTTTTAACAGGGGCAAGTATGAGAACCAAAGACTCTACCTTCACAGTGAATGAGACCCTCGTCTTGGTTCTCGGAGGCCATGGTTCCTGCCTGACTCTCATCCCAACCCCATGACCCAGGGTGACTGGTCAAGAATAACTCTCCTCTCCAAACAATAGTGGACACTTTCCTTGTCAGCCCAATACCGCGTCCAATTATGACCCCATTGCACCAATGAGAAACTGAGACTCCCTGGGGTTTTGCTTTTGCTTTTAGATTTACTTTATTTACTTGAAAGGCAAAGTTACAGACAGGGGGTGGAAGCATGGGGGTCTTCCATCAACTGGTTCACTCCCCAAATGACCTCAAGAACCTGGGGCTAAGACAGGCCAAAACCAGGAGCCTGGGATGTCTCCTGGATCTTTCACATGTGTACAGAGACCCAAGGACTTGGGCCATGTTCTGCTGCTTTCCCAGGCCATCAGAAAGGGGATAGAGCAGAAAGTGGAGCAGCGGGGACCCAAATCAAAGCTTACCCTGATACATGACAGCGGTGCCCCCTCACTGAGACTTAAGTAACCAGTGACTAGAAAGAGACAGAGGGGTGGGCATCTGACCTGGGATGGTAAGATGTCAGCCAGGACACCTACAACCCATGCTGGGTTGGAGGGCTGGATTTCTGGCTCTGTAACTGACACCAGTTGCCTGCTGAGGTACGTCCTGGGAGGAAGCAGGCAGTGGCTCAGGTATTTGTATCTTGCCACCTGCACGAGAGACCTGGTTGAGTTCCAGCCTGTTGCTTTCGGCCTGGCCCAGCCCCAGCTATTGCAGGCATTCAGGGAGTGAACCAGCCAACAGAAGACAAACCTCTGTCTCTTCATCTTTAAATACATCAAAACACTTTTAAGAAAAAAAAGTCGGACAGAGAATCCAGATCTGAATCAGGTGAGACATGCCTCGTCCCCCACAGTGACCTGCCCTGGCTCACACCCCCTTCTGTGCTTCTCAGCTGAGTCGTGTGACCAAAAACCAATCCCTCAGACTCTGGGGTCCAGTAGAATGGAGGCAGTGACCACACACTCAGGGGTTCCTGCAGAGGAGGGGCCCAGCAAGCTGAGGACTCCAGGACCACAGATTCCCCCTGACATTCCCAGAAGGGCAACCCACTGGGTCTCACCCTGGGCTGCTGAAATGTGAAGACATTTTGGTTATCACATTTCACACCGCCATGTCAGCACTCCAACTGCTGCTAGGGTCTGCATGTGTGCTCACGTTAGGTCAGGACTTCAGCCAAGGGTACATTCTCAGGCTCAGGCTGAGAGGCCAAGGGTCCCACGACCTCTACTGTCTGTATCCTGGGAGAAGGGGAGCCCCAGCCAGAGCTAGTCCCAGGCAAACCAGCGGGTCCCCACCCCTGAGCTACTGAGAAATCTCTTTTGCTAGGTTCTTGCGAGCCTCATGAAACCATGCTTTGAAAAGCTGTATCTGCCAAACCTATTGCATTTATTAAATAATCATTCATTTTTATTTGTCAAGGACACATGGAAGGTCCAATCAGGGTTCCTGATCAGCCCAAGATAAGCCATGCAGCCAGACCGGGCTGACGGAATTCCAGCCAAAAAGCAGAGAAATGACATTTCATTTAGTCTGGGCAGACCTGTCATGGGGAGATGTATGATCTCCCTTGAGCTTTCTGAAATATTGCTAATCGCTCCGAGCCCCTTATTACTGCATTGAAAGATGGTCTCTGGGGGCCGTGGGGACTCAGGCTGGAGAAATGGGACCCCCAAGGAGCAAGCCACGGCTGCCAGGGCAGGCAAGGTGGCGCCACCAACCACGGCTTGTAGATGGCTAAGCAGAGCACCAGGAGACCAGGCCCACTTCAACACCCCCATCCAGCTGCCTCCACCTGGTATCTGCCCATCTGCGGGCTGCTCTTGATATTCAGTGGGGGCTCTGGGAGAGGCAGGTACAGAAGGCAGAGGCAGGCATGGCAGGGGAAGGCAGCCACCACGATCACTCTGCTCTGGAGCCATCTTAGTTCTGTCACTTAGACAGGGCAACCTGCAGGACATGCCACTCCCTCTTGGTCTGTGTCTGTGCTCTCTGAGCAGTGACGTGGGACCCACCCCACCTGCTCTCCTTCCTCACACATCAATCTCAAGACGCAAACTCAAACCCCAACCACACAGGAGTGACCCTTTTGCCTACTGTAAGCATTATTTTGAATTTGGTGACTTACTAAATTTTGAAGGAAATAAAAACTATATGTCCACTATCACTGTCCATGTGTCATTTTCAAGTTTAGAACAACCACAAATGGGCTAGCACAGTGGTGCAGCAACTTAAACCACCCTAGCAAAGCCAGCATCCCATATCTGCACATCGGTTCGAGCCTCAGGTGCACCACTTGTAATCCAGCTCTCTGCTAATGCTCCTGGGAAAGCAGCAGAAGATGGCCCATGGAGAGACCCAGATGGAGATCCTGGCTCCTGGCTGTTGTGGCTTTTTGGGGAGTGAACTAGTAAGCAGAATGTTCATTCTCTCATTCTCTCCTCTCTCTTTCTCATTCTTGCCCTGTTCCTCACTCCATGTCATAGGATGATTTAAAACCTGCTTTCGAGTCCGGCGGCATGGCCTAGCGGCTAAAGTCCTCACCTTGAATGCCCCGGGATCCCATATGGGTGCCGGTTATAATCTCGGCAGCTCCATTTCCCATCCAGCTCCCTGCTTGTGGCCTGGGAAAGCAGTCAAGGACAGCCCAGAGCTTTGGGACTCTGCACTCACATGGGAGACCCGGAAGAGGTTCCTGGTTCCCAGCTTCGGATCGGCACAGCACCAGCCGTTGCAGTCACTTGGGAAGTGAATCACCGGACAGAAGATCTTCCTCTCTGTCTCTCCTCCTCTCTGTATATATGACATTGTAATAAAAAATAAATAAATGTTTAAAAAAAAATTTTAAATAAATAAAACCTGCTTTCTCTAAAAAAA